AGATAAATCAGCCAAATACCAAGCAAGTTGAGGAACAGGTTAATACAGTTGTATTGAATAGAAGGATATATGCAACCTTTAGTTTAATTTCCATCAAAGTAGGCTCTTGTTTGATGATCTGATTTTGGCGAGATTATAGGAAATGCTCGGCTATACAAAAAAGTCCGAAATAATTTTAAAAAGTTTGTTATATAAGATTACAGTGTTTAAAAAAAATGGTTAACTTGTTTTAATATATAAAAAAGACATTTTCAATACATATGCCGTATATTTCTACAGTCATGACCCGGGATTGATTCACGCAATTGGACACTTTTTTTTTTTTTCTGAATAAAAAATTGGCTTCAAAGACCGCCGACTCTTGCAGAAGTCCAACTCCGCCACGGGAGTAATACTGTAAGCGTAAAATTCGAACTAATTTCTTCATGTTCGGACATGTGGAGCGCTTTCAGTAAAAAGCAATCGCTAACTACCCTCCATGATTATCATGGCCTGTGCCACGCGTGTATTCCGAATAAGAGTAAAAAAAGTACTCAAAGAATAACGACACCCTGAGAGAATATCTATTATTTCATTGTTAAACTATCATGATTTCTAAAAATTTATAATTTTTCCTATCACTTCACCTACACGTCAAACAAAGCTTTATCTCCAAAATTGGTACCACACTTGTATATACACACATACACTGCTAGCCATTAAAATCGTTAAATCTATAAATAATGCAAATAGCAAAATCAATTTTATTGAACACATAGTTGTATACATTAAGAAGAAGTATTTAATTCAAGTACTTTTGGATTGAAGCGTGGCAGATATCAGTACCTAGAGTATCCGCCCTTGTCTGCAATAATTCTGCTGGACATATCGAGTCTAACACAGCTTGAAGGACATGTGACGTCAACTCTATGTAATAAGGCAAGTTCACCTTCCCAAGTCTGATAGATTACAGATATAAAACGCTTAGTTTTGTTCATATGTTGGTATACATTTTTCTTCTTTTTGTTGCACTGTTTTCGCTCCGGTAAAATGTCCCAATCTAAGTGAGCATGTAGCATGAACTTGGTATAGGAAGGGGTAACTAAAATATCCCATCTAGTTAATAGTTTATCTATATTTTTATAAAATATGCTTTGTTAAAATGCAAGGGAGGTCTCAGAAAATTGGGCATGAAGCTCAAGAATACTTTTAAAATACTAAGTGTGCCCAACTGTGTATTGTATTAAGAAAAAAGCTTGCACCACGCTGACGAGGGCCAACAGCTCGAAACGCGTGCGTGGTAAGCCTTTCTTGATTAATAAAGAATGTATTTGTCCAATCCTGGAATAATTAAAAATCAACGAATAGTTGATATTTATTCCGATAGATAGCGCAAGCCATCAGCAACTTTCAGTTGTACAATAAAGAGATGCCTTATTCTTAATTTATTCACCTTATCCCAGTACAATATCATATTTGTACTATTTATTCACATTGTGTATTGTATGTTTGTGAAACCTAGACGTGGAGCGCTAGGAAATCCAAAGGAGAAGGGAACCATTTGGGACATCTGAGCTACAGAAAACTATTAGATATAAAGTAACTGACATAGTCATCAATAAAGAAGTTTGGAGAGGATACTTCCTTTTAAGAACAACGGTGCCATAAATGAATTGGGAATATGCTAGCCATATTCCGATCGACTCTTCAGGATATAATTTGGTTCTTCTCTTGGAGGGATTAATGAGAGGATAATCAGAAGAATGTGGACAGCAATGGAGTGAGTGAGCTACATGCTGCTGAAGAAAGAGGCACAAGATGGAGGAAGAGGATGGAACTCCATCACGGCCAAATTTCGTTCTGTAAATGTACATTATAATCATTATAGAAATCTAAAGTAGACTAGCTAGGTAGAAATACTCGAGAATTCCGTCAACCTTGTTGATAAGTTTCTGTTATAGGATGAAGATTAATAGTTAAAGTTATTTTATAAGAAATTGCACTTAATATTTAGATATCTTTAAAAGAAAAGTATCCTCGTACGCTTCATATCCTTTACTTAAATCTAAAGTAGACTAGCCAAATAGAAATACTCGAGAATTCTGTCAACCTTGTTGATAAGTTTCTGTAATAGGTTGAAGATTAATAGTGAAAGTTATATTTTATAAGAAATTGCACTTAATATTTAGATATATTTAAAAGGAAAATAAAATATGCTAAATTTTATGCTACTATAATTATTTTATTATTTCTCAATTATTGCACGCATACACATTATAAACAAAGCCTTTGATAATGATGATAAACATTCGGTTATCTCAAATCAAAACAGAGTAAAGTAATAATATATCACTGATATATTATCTTTAAACAGATCAGATCAATTGTATATGAGTTATTGGCAAAGCGCTTTTTATGGTATTAAAATGTATGTTATGTACGGCTAATTGTGATTTTGTACCATAAAAGAATTAGACAATTTGAACCTAGGTCCAACTTTTTAGGCCACAGATTTCAATTTCATTAGTCAACCAGGCGCGATATTGAAATATTTGCGCCTATTACATAGGAAACAAACAAAACAACAAACAAATTAGAACTTAGAATTAAATATTTACAAATTTACATGTATTATTCGACAGAGTTCATAAAATTTATATAGACAAAGTGTCAGATGTAAAAGAGTTAAATAATTTAGATCAGAGAACAATCGATGTCTCACTTCTGTAAAGTTCGGACAGTCGTAGATAAGGTGAAGAGCAGTTTGTTCAGTTTCTCCGCAGGAACAATTTGGTGTTTCTGATAGACCTCTTTTATGTAAGTATTTCTGGAATTTTCCGTGTGATGTGACAAATTGAGTGACTATAAAATTTGAATGGAACTGTGTAGGAATTCCGTTTGGAAAAATGGTGCGAATTGTATAATTAGCATAGGCCAACAGCATTTAGAAGTAATAAAAGTATATGGAAGAGAGATTTGAAGTAAATAACCACAAATATTCACCTATAAATGATGGGCTAACTAGATTGAAGTCTGCTTGACTCTCTACTATTTCGTGTTCTGCCTTAGAAGCCTAAACTTCGGTCAATGTTAAGAATATTTATATCCCGGCATGCCTGATTCCACTCAGAGACCCTCAGTTAAAATGTTCAAATCAATAGCTCGAATAGCAAGTTGGCACATTGGATGGTAGCACCACACACTGCAGCGAGGCAGCAGGCCCTCACAGAGCTCCTGGAGTCGTGAGGAAGGAATTAATGCGTAGACAATAATGCCGCCGCCGTGAGAGCCACACCCTGGCAGCTCCACCAGTTGAACAACTTTTGCCTACAAGAAGCCACTTCCGATCACCCGACTCATTTGAAATCACTAAAATATAGAGTGTCCCTTATTTATAAGCTTATATGTAGATTTTACCTTGTGAACATTGATTCTAAATATTCAGTCGTTTTCTATTTTAAACCAACACCTGGCAAATTATTTTTGTAAGTGTCTTCACATATAGACTTCAAACTTTTATATTCAAATATATTGCATTGCCTTTTTATACTACAGTAGAAGGTCACAGAAAAACACAAACTACTTATATAATTAAACCTAATTGTTTTGATATTTCATCCGAAATCCATGGAAGGTCAATGACCTAAAGTCCCAAACTTGTTCATAGGGCATTCGAGACCTAATAGGATCCACATGTGCAGAGCGAATGGTGTAAGCGTCTGCCACCTGAACGTATTAAGTCTTAGGGATATTTTGCTTCTTTCTTTTTTTACCTATTTCCAAGATAACACAATTGGACTACATGGTGATAATTGTGGGCAGGTAATATGCCGTACTACAAGGTGGGATCAATAAATAAGGTGAATTATAATTTATTAAAAATTAGGACTTGATTTATTCAAAATAATCACCTTGGCTTTCTATACATCGTCTCCATCGTTCTGGCAACTGTAAATACCCTCTTTATAGGCACTCTTAGGAAGCGTGTGAAAAAAATCTTGCACCACTTTCTGGACATCTTCATCCGAGTCAAATCGCTTTCCCTTTAACTCCTTCTTTAGTAGTCAAAAAGGAAATAGTCAGAGGGGGCTAGGTCTGGACTATATGCAGGATGTTCTAAAACTTCAAAACCTAATTCAATGATTGTAGATACAGTTTTACATGATGTATGCGGCCATGCATCATCATGAAGGAAGAGAACACCTTTACTAAGCTTCCTTTTTTTTTTTTTTCGTCCATTTTTGAACTCGTTAACCCATTTATTAATGTTTTTTTTTTTTTTTTTTGAGACAAACAAGACTCACCATAGATATTTTTCATTCTTTGGCATATTTGAGATGTTTGAATACCTTCTGCATTCAAGAAACGAATAACTGCACGTTGTTCAAGCGTGGTGCGATCCTTCAAGGGAGCTTCCATTTTAGTTTATTTATAAGTCTCGCGCCGCGCGTGGGAAAAAAGAACAGAACATCTTAAATAGTATCTCGATGTTATATTTTAATATTCTGTGGTTTAAATTATTTTTGCTTTTTTAATTTTTATGAAATAAGATAATTCACCTTATTTATTGATCCCCCCTTGTATAAATGTGCTGCATATTTATTCACATAGAAAGTGTAGTTAGACTTTGAACTTGTAAAGAACCTAAACCTATTTTAGACACTTGAACTATCTTAGGGGATTAATAGAGAGAGAGAGAGAGAGAGAGAGAGACAGAAAGACTTTTTCAAGGATATTATTACATCTTCCTGATTTTGCTTCGACTGTAGATTGATTCATTTCTGTAGTATAAACAAGACCAGAGCGGGGGTAGTCACAAAATAATTTTATTTTAACAAGAAAAGTATTCACAAATTTCGTCAGATGTCTCCAAAACACAACTGAGAGATATAAACAAACTATTTACAAATAAAATGCTTACTCACGATGATGATGCGACATTGATGATAAAATATCGAGTAAGCTACCACAGATTATTCTGTGACATTATGATATATGGACGTCGTGTTTCTTATTTGCCTACGGCCATACCACATTGAAAACACTGGTTCTCGTCCGATCACCGAAGTTAAGCAATGTCGGGCCCGGTCAGTACTTGGGAGGGTGACCACCTGGGAACACCGGGTGCTGTAGGCTATTACCTTTTTTTCAAATCGGTGGATGAGAGGGTAACACGCTCGATTCCCGATATAAGTCGGTGGATGAGAGGGTAACACGCTCGATTCCCGATATAAGTCGGTGGATGAGTGGGTAACACGCTCGATTCCCGACAGTCATTAACCGGGATTGGATCCCGCGTTAAAATTTGTCTAATATGTGAATAACCTTCAAATATTATTCACTGTTTTAATTATCATGAACTAGGTTGCTTTTGCTGAGCGGTACCTATTAATGTGATTTTGAACGTCGTGTTTCTTATTTTAAAATTTCAATATTTATATAGCTGGCAAATACGGTGTAATTATTAAAGGAATCTCTATAATTTAGGAAATTCAACCTCTTGAATGTGAAAGTAATCAAAAATAGCTCTGAGATAATTTGTAAGTGCAAACTCGAACTATTTTTATGATTGTGATTAAGAATTTTGGCAACTTCAGAAAGGAGTAGGTGACACTGCAACTTTTTATTGACTATTTTATTTGAATGTAAATTTGCATAACAAACATATTCCATCATACAAATAATTTAAAGAGTGGTATCACAGTTTGTGCCATGTAAATTATAATTGTAATAGGAAATTTCTAAAAACATATTTTTATTTATGTCGAATTTTAAATTTCATATATGATTACTATAATTACTATACCCCTACAGGTACTTGCATATTGTAGTGTGTGTGTTTAAAAAGTAAAATAATTACTCAAATTGTAATTGGATTTTCATTTAAATTAATTTTTGGAAATTTTATTCGCCTTTTATTTGCATATCAATAAAAAAAATGAAAATCATAATTTTGTAGAGTTCCATTTTTTTTATCATTTAGAAAAACAAGGGAAAATATAAATAAGTGAAATAGCAGATCTTTCGACCATGCTTCATTACTTTTGAGACCTACTGTATGCAAAGGCACGTATGAACGTATGTAAAGAGCATGTACAATCTTCTGATCATGCAACGTTCAGAAATTTTGTCAAATTACAATGTCATCAGGTTTGAGCAAGTTTACCAAATTTCAAACATATGGGAGCTCTT